AGGTGAATGGGGGGAAGTATTTTGCTGGCTGCAGATATTCATTAGGATGGGTCAATGCGGATCGCGGCGTTTAATTTCCCCGGATAATTCCGCCGCATTGATTCCGCTGGAGATGAAACGACTTTTCAATCAGCGATCGCCGGAAAATCCAAATAATACCGCCAGCAGAAATGGAAGTGTGCAAGCTCCGCCCCCTCCACCTGCTCCAATCCCCTGAGGCATAGCAAGACTGACAGCCACAGGCATGACTCCCAGAGGCATGATGGGATTTGTAGTGCCTGTGTTTGAGGACACACACAGCTTACTAGCAGGCACACAAGGGTGGCTCCATAGGACCCGGCAGGGGAAAGGAGTCACCCCAACACAGGAAGTCAGTGCTCGGGGGAGCGGCATCATCAGCATTGACTGTAATGAAGTCTTCCATGACGGGGGGGATGTAGACGGGACGTCCGGAGATCCCCCCCCGCTGGATATTCATCCCGTATGGACAGGGCACATGTATGGACAGTGCACATGTATGGACGGGGAACATGTATGGATGGGGCACATGTATGGATGGGGCACATGTATGTCATTGCTATGCCTGATGAAGGGACCCTGTGTGGCCCCGAAAGCGCTTGTGTAACTGACATGAGTTTGCAATAAAATCTACGAACTTTGATCCTATAAGGATTTGGTGTGCTGGTGACGTTTCTGCAATTACATGTATGGACGGGGCACATGTATGGACGGGGCACATGTATGAACGGGGCACATGTATGGACAGGGCACATGTATGAACAAGGCACATGTATGGAAAGGGCACATGTATGGACAGGGCACATGTATGGACAGGACACATGTATGGACAGGGCACATGTATGGACAGGGCACATGTATGAACAAGGCACATGCATGAACAAGGCACATGTATGGACAGGGCACATGTATGGCCAGGGCACATGTATGGACAGGGCACATGTATGGACAGGGCACATGTATGGCCAGGGCACATGTATGGACACGGCACATGTATGGCCAGGGTACATGTATGGACGGGGCACATGCATGGACGGGGCACATGCATGGACGGGACACATGCATGGACGGGGCACATGCATGGACGGGGCACATGCATGGACGGGGCACATGCATGGACGGGGCACATGTATGGACAGGGCACATGTATGGCCAGGGCACATGTAAGGACAGGGCACATGTATGGACAGGGCACATGTATGGCCAGGGCACATGTATGGACAGGGCACATGTATGGCCAGGGCACATGCATGGACACGGCACATGTATAGCCAGGCCACATGTATGGACAGGGCACATGTATGGACAGGGCACATGTATGGACAGGGCACATGTATGGCCAGGGCACATGTATGGACAGGGCACATGTATGGACAGGGCACATGTATGGACAGGGCACATGTATGGACACGGCACATAATTGATTATAATCGACTTAGTCGATTAGTTGTTGCAACTCTAGACAGGGGTAGCAAACCTCCGCGCCCCCCCCCCCCCAGCTGTGGTGGAACTACAAATCCCATGAGGCATCTCTCTCTCCGGGAGTCGTGGCTGTGAGAATCTTGCAATGCCTCATGGGATTTGTAGCTCCACCCACAGCTGGGGGGGAGGGGCCGGAGGTTTGCTACCCCTGATTTAGGACAACAAAGCTGAACTGGAAAGTGAGGTGAATCGGAGACGTTTTCCGCAATTGTTCCCTTCTCCAAACTCCTCCCCCTTCTGCGAATAGCCCCCCAAATCTGATCCTCCAAACATACGGACATGAAAACCTGCGAAGATCATCTGATAGTTAGCTGCTGATCGCCAGCGATGCCCCCAAAGGAGCGAGAAACACAGATTTATATATAATAGAATCATCGGCGTGGTATCGGGGGAGGGGTCTCGGCTGTCCTGTCTCTCCGAGGTTTGCCGGCGGTGAAGCGTTACAGAGGTCGTGTTTATTTCTCCCCGCAGGTTTGGTTCCAGAACAGACGCGCCAAGTGGCGGAAGCGGGAGAAGTGCTGGGGCCGGAGCAGCGTGATGGCGGAATACGGTCTGTATGGCGCCATGGTGCGACACTCCATCCCGCTTCCGGAGTCCATCCTGAAATCCGCCAAGGACGGCATCATGGAATCTTGCGCCCCCTGGCTGCTGGGTGAGGAATCCATTCTAGACTTGTCATACGTTCCACACTGGGCCAGTACATGGGATGTGTTCTGCTCTGTATATCAGATCAGAGAAGGTCCCCCTCCCCCAACATGTCAGTGACATACGGATCACTGCCCCAGGCGATATAGACGTGTAGCCCAATAGATTTCCATTGTTCACCGGTAACCAATCACCTTCTGGAACTACAAACCCCAAAATGGTTTTCTATTTATGAATGGCAGTCCCGGCCTCATCACCGAGTTCTGCCCATTTCAACCGTAATCCCTTCCCAATGTTGTCCTTTCCTCACCCACTGTGTGTGTGTCTCATCCATTCGCACCTGGTACCCCCCATGTCTTCACCTGTAGTCTTTGCCGGCTGCCCACCTGCTATTCTTCATGTCTATGCCTCCTGGCCCCACCTGATACCCAACAAGTCTCTGCCTGTACCCACCGTGTCTCCTTCACCTCCTCCCAACCGGTACCCAACAAGTCTCTGCCTGTACCCACCGTGTGTCCTTCACCTCCTCCCAACCGGTACCCAACAAGTCTCTGCCTGTACCCACCATGTCTCCTTCACCTCCTCCCACCTAGTACCCAACAAGTCTCTGCCTGTACCCACCGTGTGTCCTTCACCTCCTCCCACCTGGTACCCAACAAGTCTCTGCCTATACCCACCGTGTCTCCTTCACCTCCTCCCACCTGGTACCCAACAAGTCTCTGCCTGTACCCACCGTGTGTCCTTCCCCTCCTCCCACCTAGTACCCAACAAGTCTCTGCCTGATACCCACTGTGTGTCCTTCACCTCCTCCCAACCGGTACCCAACAAGTCTCTGCCTGTACCCACCGTGTCTCCTTCACCTCCTCCCACCTGGTACCCAACAAGTCTCTGCCTGTACCCACCGTGTCTCCTTCACCTCCTCCCACCTGGTACCCAACAAGTCTCTGCCTGTACCAACCGTGTCTCCTTCACTTTGTCCCAACAGGTATTTTACATATCTCTACCTGTACCCTTTGTCTTACTTGCCCTCCACAGCTGGCACCCTGCATATCTCTAGCACGGCACTATTCCTCCTCTTGTTCATACCCAGCGCCCTTCCTGTCTCCCCATTCGGTCTCCACCTATATCTTCTTTGCACCTTCTACCCCAAATATTTCTGCCTGTACTTCCTGTCTCCACCTCTGCCACCACTGCTAGTACCGGTTATCTTCTCCATCTATCCTCATTTTCCACGCATCCCATGGCCTCACCTTGTGCCTCAAATGTCTTCTACTTGCATGCGCCCAATATCCTCCGCTACTTCCTTCTGTCCTCTCCTGGTACTTTTAGTGTCTCCACCTCTGCCCATGCTCTTCCAGTCACTCCTACACATACCATCGGGGTCTCCTACTGCCAGTACCTTGTACCTTAGATGTCTACCTGTACCGTCATGTCTCCACCATTGGTCCTCTATATATCTCTGCCTCTTTTCTCCACATCACCTCCACCCAACATTCTCCTGTCCTCTCCCACCCATACCATCGGGGTCTCCTACTGCCAGTACCTTGTACCTTAGATGTCTACCTGTACCGTCATGTCTCCACCATTGGTCCTCTATATATCTCTGCCTCTTTTCTCCACATCACCTCCACCCAACATTCTCCTGTCCTCTCCCACCCATACCATCGGGGTCTCCTACTGCCAGTACCTTGTACCTTAGATGTCTACCTGTACCGTCATGTCTCCACCATTGGTCCTCTATATATCTCTGCCTCTTTTCTCCACATCACCTCCACCCAACATTCTCCTGTCCTCTCCCACCCATACCATCGGGGTCTCCTACTGCCAGTACCTTGTACCTTAGATGTCTACCTGTACCGTCATGTCTCCACCATTGGTCCTCTATATATCTCTGCCTCTTTTCTCCACATCACCTCCACCCAACATTCTCCTGTCCTCTCCCACCCATACCATCGGGGTCTCCTACTGCCAGTACCTTGTACCTTAGATGTCTACCTGTACCGTCATGTCTCCACCATTGGTCCTCTATATATCTCTGCCTCTTTTCTCCACATCACCTCCACCCAACATTCTCCTGTCCTCTCCCACCCATACCATCGGGGTCTCCTACTGCCAGTACCTTGTACCTTAGATGTCTACCTGTACCGTCATGTCTCCACCATTGGTCCTCTATATATCTCTGCCTCTTTTCTCCACATCACCTCCACCCAACATTCTCCTGTCCTCTCCCACCCATACCATCGGGGTCTCCTACTGCCAGTACCTTGTACCTTAGATGTCTACCTGTACCGTCATGTCTCCACCATTGGTCCTCTATATATCTCTGCCTCTTTTCTCCACATCACCTCCACCCAACATTCTCCTGTCCTCTCCCACCCATACCATCGGGGTCTCCTACTGCCAGTACCTTGTACCTTAGATGTCTACCTGTACCGTCATGTCTCCACCATTGGTCCTCTATATATCTCTGCCTCTTTTCTCCACATCACCTCCACCCAACATTCTCCTGTCCTCTCCCACCCATACCATCGGGGTCTCCTACTGCCAGTACCTTGTACCTTAGATGTCTACCTGTACCGTCATGTCTCCACCATTGGTCCTCTATATATCTCTGCCTCTTTTCTCCACATCACCTCCACCCAACATTCTCCTGTCCTCTCCCACCCATACCATCGGGGTCTCCTACTGCCAGTACCTTGTACCTTAGATGTCTACCTGTACCGTCATGTCTCCACCATTGGTCCTCTATATATCTCTGCCTCTTTTCTCCACATCACCTCCACCCAACATTCTCCTGTCCTCTCCCACCCATACCATCGGGGTCTCCTACTGCCAGTACCTTGTACCTTAGATGTCTACCTGTACCGTCATGTCTCCACCATTGGTCCTCTATATATCTCTGCCTCTTTTCTCCACATCACCTCCACCCAACATTCTCCTGTCCTCTCCCACCCATACCATCGGGGTCTCCTACTGCCAGTACCTTGTACCTTAGATGTCTACCTGTACCGTCATGTCTCCACCATTGGTCCTCTATATATCTCTGCCTCTTTTCTCCACATCACCTCCACCCAACATTCTCCTGTCCTCTCCCACCCATACCATCGGGGTCTCCTACTGCCAGTACCTTGTACCTTAGATGTCTACCTGTACCGTCATGTCTCCACCATTGGTCCTCTATATATCTCTGCCTCTTTTCTCCACATCACCTCCACCCAACATTCTCCTGTCCTCTCCCACCCATACCATCGGGGTCTCCTACTGCCAGTACCTTGTACCTTAGATGTCTACCTGTACCGTCATGTCTCCACCATTGGTCCTCTATATATCTCTGCCTCTTTTCTCCACATCACCTCCACCCAACATTCTCCTGTCCTCTCCCACCCATACCATCGGGGTCTCCTACTGCCAGTACCTTGTACCTTAGATGTCTACCTGTACCGTCATGTCTCCACCATTGGTCCTCTATATATCTCTGCCTCTTTTCTCCACATCACCTCCACCCAACATTCTCCTGTCCTCTCCCACCCATACCATCGGGGTCTCCTACTGCCAGTACCTTGTACCTTAGATGTCTACCTGTACCGTCATGTCTCCACCATTGGTCCTCTATATATCTCTGCCTCTTTTCTCCACATCACCTCCACCCAACATTCTCCTGTCCTCTCCCACCCATACCATCGGGGTCTCCTACTGCCAGTACCTTGTACCTTAGATGTCTACCTGTACCGTCATGTCTCCACCATTGGTCCTCTATATATCTCTGCCTCTTTTCTCCACATCACCTCCACCCAACATTCTCCTGTCCTCTCCCACCCATACCATCGGGGTCTCCTACTGCCAGTACCTTGTACCTTAGATGTCTACCTGTACCGTCATGTCTCCACCATTGGTCCTCTATATATCTCTGCCTCTTTTCTCCACATCACCTCCACCCAACATTCTCCTGTCCTCTCCCACCCATACCATCGGGGTCTCCTACTGCCAGTACCTTGTACCTTAGATGTCTACCTGTACCGTCATGTCTCCACCATTGGTCCTCTATATATCTCTGCCTCTTTTCTCCACATCACCTCCACCCAACATTCTCCTGTCCTCTCCCACCCATACCATCGGGGTCTCCTACTGCCAGTACCTTGTACCTTAGATGTCTACCTGTACCGTCATGTCTCCACCATTGGTCCTCTATATATCTCTGCCTCTTTTCTCCACATCACCTCCACCCAACATTCTCCTGTCCTCTCCCACCCATACCATCGGGGTCTCCTACTGCCAGTACCTTGTACCTTAGATGTCTACCTGTACCGTCATGTCTCCACCATTGGTCCTCTATATATCTCTGCCTCTTTTCTCCACATCACCTCCACCCAACATTCTCCTGTCCTCTCCCACCCATACCATCGGGGTCTCCTACTGCCAGTACCTTGTACCTTAGATGTCTACCTGTACCGTCATGTCTCCACCATTGGTCCTCTATATATCTCTGACTCTTTTCTCCACACCACCTCCATCCAACATTCTCCTTCTCCTCACCCAGTACTCTTACGTGTCCCTCTAGCCCCTGCCTACTACCTTCCACGTCTCCTCCTCCCGGGTACTTTACGCAGCTTGGGGTTTGGCTTTGACGAGTCCAGTCCTTCTCCGTGTGTTGTCTATCCTGACGTTTGCATTGCCCTCTCTGGTACACATGGCCCATTCCGTGCTCCCCGGACTCCGGTCAGCCGCCTGTTTGAGCCTCTGTTCTTCCGTTCTCTAAAAATCTTCTTTTATCTTTGCTGTTTTCAGTTCAAGATGGCCTGTCAATGCCAAGACGATTTTCTAAACCCGAATACCAACAATTCTTTGCAGGAATGCACAAGAAGTCTCTCGAGGCGGCCGAGCAGACAGAGCGAGAGCCACCGGCAATAGCCAACGCCGAGGCGAAAGAGAGAAGGGAGGCCGAGCGCCCAGCCGCCATCTCCGAGGAGGAGCTAAGAGAGAACAGTATTGCGGCCCTGCGAGCTCGAGCTCAGGAGCACAGCGCCAAGGTCCTGAGGAGCACAAACTGCGAAACGCCCGCAGCGGAGGGGAACAGGGAGGAGGCGGAGGAGGAGGGGCAGACGGAGGGAGACGCCGGGGTGCATGACGACTCCGACGTCTAAGAGAAAAAGACTTTGCTGAGGATCCGAGTCCCCCC